TTGCCATATTTTACTGTTTTACTTCCATAAAAGGAAGAATGCGTGTCAAGCTTGTGAAAAGTTGCATAAAAATTTACAGTGACAATGCTCTACAAGAATGTCAGTGCAAACGATGGTTCATGAAATTCTGTGCTGGTGATTTTGATCTCAACGACGCTCCTCGGTCAGGGAGGCCCACCGAGGTTGAAGACGACAAAATAAAGGCATTGATCAAATCAAACCCATGTTACACGACACGAGAGAGTGCAGAAACATTGAATATCCATCATTTAGGCCTTCACGACCACATGAAGAAGCTGGGATACATAAGCAAGCTCGATATTTGGATTCCTCATGAACTCAAAGAAGTTCATTTGACGATGCGTATAAACATCTGCAATATGCTCATTAAATGTGAGTAAAACGATCCTTTTTTGAAGTGACTGATAACTGGTGATGAGAAGTGGATTGTTTACAACAATGTGGTGCGCAAACAGTCTTGGTCCCGACGTGATGATTCGCCTCAAACAACATCGAAAGCAGACATTCATCAGAGGAAGGTTATGTTCTCAGTGTGGTGGGGTTTTAAAGGTGTTGTGTTATTTGAGCTCCTACCAAGGAACCAAACAATCAATTCAAATGTGTACTGTCAGCAATTGGATAGTTTGAATGAATCCATCATCCAGAAAGGTCCAGATCTTGTTAATTGTAAAGGAGTTATGTTCCATCGTGAGAACGCGAGACTACACACAAGTTTGATCACCCATCAAAAATTATTGGAGCTTGGATGGGATGTGTTGCCACACCCACCATCCTCGCCTGACCTTGCGCCATCAGACTTCCACTTGTCTCGCTCTCTTCAAAACTCCTTGTGTGGTATAACGTTCAGTTCAGATGAGGCTGTAAATCAGCACCTTGTTCAGTTTTTGACAAATAAAGACAGGTCCTTCTATGAATGAGGAATTATGAAGCTCACGGAAAGATGGCAAAAGGTTATCGAACAAAACAGGCAATACATCATTGATTGATCCTTGTCCTTTATATAAATAAGTGACCTTTGAAAAACAGACAAAAGATGTCATGACTATTCTGACAACCCATTAGTTGTAGAGGGCGCAGCTCACTGGCCCATGCGGGAATTGAAGCGGCCGGCAACCTTGTTCAGAGCACGCGCTCTAACCAACTGAGCCACCCGGCCTCCCTTACAAAGTTCTTTTAACTTAGAGCCTCAGACTTGTAATTAATTGAGAAGAAGCCTAGCTAGTTATTGAGGAAAAGTTCTCTCCTGTTCTGTGGAATTAAATGTTTTTGTTGTTGTTGTTGTTTATTTGTGAAAATGGGTTGGCTATATTGTGAATTCATGAAAAGAACAGTGGAGTAAACTAAGATAGTTTGGCTTTTTATAGGTTAACTTCTCCTGAAATTGTTTAATTTAAAAATGTATTTGACCTTCATAACTACATTGTGTCAGCTTTATTCTATTTGAGATAGTATCTTGTTACCTTAATTTTTAAAAAAGTATTTGTCAATATTTGTGGAAACATGAGAATAGTGTTCTGACAGTTGGTGTATGTCAAGCTTGAGCTGTCAGCTGAGCTGGCACCACAGACCAAAAGGGGAAACATCTCTGGAGGGACAGTGAGGAAGTGTTATAGATCCTCCAAACTCCAGGTCACTGATGGGACTGAAGAAAAGTTTACACTTTTTAAACATCTTAATTCTCAAACCTTTCTATTTTGAATTTGTAAAAAGTTATGTTCTGAATGGCACTGCTGACATTATTTTCAAACCAGTCTGAGCACTCATTTTAAGCAACAAGGGTTGATGATGAGTTAATAATGCTTGACTTTTTACTAAAAATGTAAACGAGATTCCCTGTAGACTTACACACATGCTGCTTGTGCTAGAATTTTAAGAGAGAAGTGAAGACCACATTCAGGCTGCTGTACCTTAAAGACGTTGACCATCGGGGAGCCATTTCCCACTTCATCTTTTTAAAAGATAAAACTGTCGTCAGACCCCCTAGAACCGTGGCGTTTACCTAGTGACATTGCTGGCCAACGTTTAACAGCTGGCTGGCGGGCACCCCTGATACAGGTTCTCTTCTGATTTGCATAGTAAAGTATTTCCATGGTGGGATAGGGAGACATGATACCAGTGATCCTAAGGGAACAAGAAGAGAGAGATCACCAGCAAATGTGGAGGAGACGCCCTTGCCACCTCCTCGTCCTTTGGTGATGACAGCTCAGAGGCCAGGGGCGTCGGTCGTCCAGGCAGATGTGACCTGTGTGGGGGATGGTGGTGGTGGGACAGGGCTCCCGAGAACTTAAGATGGGAAATCCTCCATGTTCCTCAGCTGGTGATTTCAACTTACAGGTTAAACTTTTTTTTTAATTTTTTTAATTGGGGAATTGGGGGAAGGGGAACAGACAAGTTGCTGTTGTTTTGTTCTTCAGTCTAGTTGTGGAGGATGTTGCTTCACTGGCCAAAGCTGGCACCATCATTGCGCTCTTCCCGGGCGAGGCACATCAGTCGCTGGCTTCTGGATGGCCGCTCACTGCAGCTGCTGGCCGCTCAC